AAACTCTCTCCACCCCAATACAACACCATGAATCCCTTTTCTAATTGACAGACTTTCCTGGCACCAGTTCACCTGATGTTCTGTCCCCGAGGTTTTATGCACACCGCATAATTTAACAAAATTCGATAATTTTTCGCATAATTTCTGATTATTTGTCTTCATAATTCTTTGTTATAATTAACAGAATCGCATAATTTCACATTTTTGGGCTGTTTGCATAATTTCAGAATTTCTTTTGCATAAAACCGTGGGGGACAGGATGTTCTACCATGATGTTTCTGTTCTATTTTTCTTTGACATTTTTGGCTGTTTTGAGTTTCTAAGACCATAACGCCAGAAACTAAATGTTCCATCTGATCTATCAAAATCATATGATTATTCGGAGTCGATATCAAGACATTTGAATAATTGTATTCCGAAAAGCTTGATGTATTGAAATTCTTGGGTAGCGATTTATACAGGCTTGGGACAGTCATTGAAGTCATTGGTTGACTGTACCTAAAATGATTTGTTGGTGGTTGTTATCTGACCAGGGATGTTCACACTGCCCCCCCCCCCCATTTCTTAAAATAGTGCATCAGGGGTTATGTGAGCGGGAGGGATAGTAAGATTTATATAAAATTACCCCCTGCAGACCTTAAGGCTGAACGAATTATTGTGGTAGACTGTCAGATAGACCTGCATCATTTATTTCTGTAAAAAACAAAAAAAATGTCTTACTTCCATCTGGTCCAGAGGCACTCAGTCCATTAATCGCATATTTGCCGATGGAGAAGACCAAGTTGACCACACTCAATATCGGATACCACATTTTGGCACTTCTGAGGGGAGAAAGAAAGGCAAAAGAAAAGTGAAAAAGTGTACATCAGACAATAAATCACATACAGAGATTATATTGCACAAGGAATAGAGCAATGCTTGATTAAGAAACGTTGCCAATTAATATTAAAATTCAATTCTTCACCATATTTTGTAGCACTTTTTGAATTTTAATTAAAGCAAGTTATCACTTTAAAAGAGAAATTATTAATGCCTTGAGGTGTAAAGACCATCTGAGTTTCATGACAACTACATTATTACTTCTGCAATACCAATCATATGTTTTCACCCATAAGAAATTTTTACAAAAAACTAACAATGTATCCTGTTGTGACCAGGTGTGGGTGGTAAATTAACTGATTTTTATTGAAAAATAGCAAAGTGGGCATTTTGGGTGTTAAGATAATATAAACCTCCATCAAACCCTCTTATACTGCCGGCATTGAGACAAGCATGAAGTTGGCGGCACATGTATATTATAACAAAGTTTAAACATGACGTCCCCTTGTTATAAAAGCATAGAAAGCCCCGCATCAAGGGACATAATTCTGCCTACACTAGATGAAACACAAGGTTCTCATGAGTTATTTCCCTTCGTCCGAAATTATGTTCAAACATTTTTCACACAAAGAACATGTAACATAGATCTATCCACCCTCGTTATTCATTATTGCCAAGTGGGTGTCAAAATACTAGTTTTTCAGGAAACACAAAAATCTTCCAAATCAGGCAGGGCATTATATAATGTTTCAAAATACAAAAGGTTGAAGTCAACTAAATCTACTTTTTTATAGGGTAGGCTTACCAATCGATGCACCTCATTAAATTAGAAAGTCTAAACACAAAGACCTAGGTCTAGATCTAGATCTAAATCTAGATCTAGAATCTACTTTATTTTCAAGATTTTGAAATTTTGAGAGATTAAAATGTTGAATGAAGGAGCAATTTAAATACAAGAATCTATCATAGCATAAACTCGCTCGAATCTCTCTCTCTCTGTACCCATATATAGATCTAGATTTCTAGATCTATCTTTATTTTTAATTAATCATAATATTTAAATTCTAAACTACGTTAGCTATTAGGCCCATTTATTGTTTTGTTTGAAACTGCGTTTTTTTATTTTTTGTTTCTAGCTTTTGACGATTGTTCTGTTCTCTTCGGTAGAGATTGTTACTGGGTTGCTGTTATGGCATGGCGGACAACTACAACATCTGTATTGGCTAAATTAGCAGCTCAGTTTCACCATCAACTTTTCCTTGAGCGGCATTGAGTGAGAAATATAAGCCCATTCTAGATTTGGTCGACAACGAAAAGCAAAGGAACGTCATCAACAGCAAAGCAACTAAAATTCAAAATATTCTTAATTAATCATTGCGGAAATGTGACAAACACAATAGGAAAAAAAACACGAAATTAATAATATAGAAATCTAGTAGAAATCTACACAGACTAGATCTAGACTAGATATCTAGATCTAATACAAACCAACCTGCTTTTTCTGCAACCTTGTACTTGAACTGTATAAATCTAGATAATAGATCTACAGGTAGATTCAAGGCAAGGCTAGCTCACAGCTTCTATGCCTCGGCTGTGGTGTGTTGTTAGTAGTCGTAGATTAAGCTAGCGCTCACTGCAAGTGCAAGGGACGGATACACTTGAACTGCGATGTTTCGTTATTTTATAAGCAAGCCACACGGAGAAAGAACTTCGTCCTAGTTAATCCGTTTCGTAACGCTCGGCTTTCCTTTATATACAGCCCCTGGGCGGTGGTTCAAAGCAACGTTTTCTTCTCTGTTTTCGTCACAGAAAATTTTCGTTATGAAAACACCGTAAGTTAATTATAGCCTAATGAGCAAACGGGGCGTCATAAAAAAGTTATGGTTCTTCAGCTGGGTCAAATACTTATTTTTTTCAGTTTGTGGGCGTTTGTTTAAGGGGGCGGGAAGGAGGAGAGACGGTCAATAAAAAAATCTTTGGACAACTATGCCTTTCAATTATTTGTGCACATGTTTACTGTTTGAGCTTCAAATATTTCTCGGATGTTTTCTTATTATGGGCCAGAAATAACGGTGGTGTACTGAGTCAACGAAATGTGAACCACTATAATTTTCTTTCACCTGTAGCCTTGGACAAGACTCATTAATTTTCTCTTCCATTCTCTTTCTTTCTCTCTCCTTCCCCCC